TACCTGGAGACTACATTCAAGGATGTCTATAAACTAATTTCTTCGGAAATGGGTATGAATAAGGATAAGGTTAATATTTTCGATATGGACTAAAAAAAAGCGTTTTGCAAAGTTTTCGGTTGCGGAAGCTTACGGTTCATGAGATATATTTTTTTAAACTTTTCATACAAATTGGCAAATAACACGCAATTACATAATAAATTTGACAAATGATTGGTCAAACGTCAATTAGTGTAGGGTTCCGAATATTTTGAAAGTATCGATACGTACTCGATACCAAGTATCGTATCAAAAGTATCAATACTACTTGGTATCGAATACATTTCGTTAATTTTGGAGACGAAAAATTAGATGCATAGGAAGATATGATGAGTGCAATTATATATGTATATAAAGTAGAATAAAGTTTATTTAAGTTCCACCTTAGTACTTGTATTTCATTGTTTGCAACTTGTTTGTATTTCTTAATTAGCTTTCTTAATTAGCTTTTGTACTTGTATTTTATTGTTTGCAACTTGCTGTATTATCTAATTCTTACTACAATAAAGTGTTTACTTACTTACTTAATATACAAAAAGTACCCAAAACCGAATTAAAGCACCCCACTATCCACGTGGTCTTGTCTGCCCTACCCCTAGAGAGATACATACAGATTCCTGTAAAACAGGTTCCAGATTCTCCACACTCACCATAAGAAACACAGCAGCGTTGAACTGCTATTTTTCGCCGGTAATCTGTGAGAGCGTGGTCTTTTCCAGGTCGAGCCGACCCATTTTTGCTACAACTGTAATATAGCTGCAGCGTGGCTCTGATTAATACTAATACTATTATTACAACAGCGATACAAAGTATAAACATACCCCACACACTACCTTCTTGCAAATAATACTTTTCTCTTATCACACAATTTCTCATCCTATCATCCTCATTATTCTGCAGCATGGCTCTACCAAGTTGCAGAAGTACAGAATTAAATACTTTTGCATTGGCATTGGTATCATATTGAGTATTTTAATTTAGGTCTCCAGTTAATATTACCGTCAGTATTGCGTAGCCTAATCTATTAGCGTAACTATCTGCTTGGATTCCTATAAGAATGTGACCTATAGACTACAACAGCAAATGTATCTTTATTTTATTTTAATATTAGAGTTAGTATAATTCTAAAGAGGACTCATGAACTTCAATATAACACTTAAATTCTTAATTTAAACCGTTGTGCCATCATTTTGGTTGCTATTTAGTTGTTAGACGACAATTATATCCAGGTATTTCCTTGGTTTATTCTTTATGATAATCCTCCATGATACGTGAATAATCTCTCTTGTTAAGCTAAGGTAGTACGATTTACTATCTAGGGCTTAATTAACAGGTGGGTTTTGTCAAACACTGGCTAATATTAAATAAAAAAATAAAATTCATTCCTCCTACCTTGAGAAAGAGAAGGTTGCCCTCTAATTCTACCCCCTTGTGTTTCCTTCGCTCTCACACTATTAAAATACTAAAAAAATATTATATTTATCGAAAAAAAAAAAAATATTTTTAATATTGCGACTGTTGATCATGTGGTTCCGTGTTCGAATCCTAGGTCTGGCCTAAAATACTCATTGAGTTTTTCGGTCAAGAAAATTTTAGCTTTAGCGTAAAGCTCATAGAGCCGATGGTCCTGCTCCTGATACCAGAGGTATGCCAGATTTTCGTTCCGTCGGACTATAAAAGTGACGAACGATATTCCAACCCTAGGACAAATAGAGAAATAGGAAGATGATGTGATGTTGATACGGACGACAGCGCATACTACACGTCGTCAAAGAAACAAAAATTGCTGCCAAGAAGATGTAGCGGCTGCTTGACATACTTCCCCTATAGCTGGACAAATAGCTGATGTCAATCAACGTCAGAAAACATGAGCCATTATCATTAACTGCCTATACACGTGCCAATCTCGCTTAAACTAAGAGGTCAGAGATGTTGTCGAGTGGAAGACGCTGTAACGTATATTGTATCAAACAAAGCCTAATAAAAAGGAAGATAAAAGAGGGAAACAGAACAGATGCAAAGAGAACTTTAAAAATTTGTTCATTAGTACAGTACACAATAACCCGGGGGTTGTCATCCCTTGAGATGACTTCGGGTATAGATGTTAGCCTCGAGTCCCGATACCTGCGGGGTTCATAACCTCTTGCAGATGACTCAATCACTCGGGGAATAGAGAGTGCAGCTTTGCTTGCGCACACACTCGTGCAGGATAATCTTATCCTGCGCAAATACCTGGTCTCCGTTGTGACTGACCACCATAACCTTATTTGTTTTGCAGGTCGTTATAATATTGAATTATAATAGAGCCAGAATGTTAGCGATCACCTATTGTCGGGGAAGTTTTCATACACGTATGCGTTAAAATTGTAATAACCCTATCTGTACAGTTTTTAATGATTTTTTTTACTTTTTTAATGATAACAATTTTACATTACCTGTAGTTTTGTTGTAAAAACGTGTTTTTGTTTGGAATAGGTCAAAAGTCTAATAACTGGCATTACAAGTTTGTGTTTGTTCCTTTTACTTAAAGTATGAATATATTTTTATTTCTTTTCCTTCGCTGCATCCTTAGTTTAGTAGACATAAGTTGTAATACTGATCATGTGGTCCCGGTTTTGAACCGTCGGACAGTCGGGTATACTTGTAAAAGCTTTTAATTAGCGTAAATAAATCCTAGCTAGATCGATTTATTGGTCCCGATACTCCCTGGACACTAAATTTTATGAAAATCGTCGGAGCCGTTTCCGAGATTCCGATATATATATATATATATATATATATATAGAATAAGGGTAAAAAACGAGCGCACAAAGTCCACCTGATGGTGAATGCTGTGGACCATAGACATCTACATTTATTCTTGATTAAGAATCAAAATTCAGATGCGGTGTCACACCTGATGACTAAGATAAAATACCTCGTTTCCATTAAAAAGGGTCTCCGGCTCTCTACATTCTGTGAGGGCGTGGTTCTACCCCAATCGAACCGACCCATTTTTGCTACAACTATACATAGCTGTAGCGTGACTTTACTATTTATTACTCAAAAGCGATGATTATTCTCCTACAGGCTATAACAATAATTTCACGTTACTGATCTAATCAGTGATATGAGTCACGAAAATGGCATATTGTCAATATTTCACTACAAAAATAATTTGGAATTAATTTTCAACTATTTACGATAAACTGAGAAATTTGGTTCAATTACTTAAGTAACTGACAATTGTAAAAGCTTCTTAAAATGTATACAATTCGAATGCACGTGAGAGACATTTCGAGAACATCTGGACGACATTACGACACGCCAGACAAGCGGCCGTCTGGTCGACATCCAAACGAGCCAAATAAGAATAAAGATATCTACAAATTGTTTTTCAATGTTTGATGTATCAGAAAGAAAATCTCTGTTGAAAGTTTTATAACAAGCTTATTTTCAAATACTTTCACAATTGACTACGAATCAGCAAGATAATTTTACATGTCACAGTGTAATAGAATTTTCGCGTCAATGTCCCACTGTTCTACTATTATCTCCTGTATCGTAGATACGGTTAACGTGCATTAATTTTTGCAAGTGATATTTTTAAATACTCTTTTTTCTACAAGGAAATAAAGTTACTAATACGTGGCCGTGGAAGAAAAGGGGGAGATCTCCCGACGGGCAAGATGTTCTGCCCGGGGAGCGGCCACCGGAGATTTTCTATATATACTGTTTTATGATTCGAAATTTTGATAGCGTGATTTAGGCTTCGATGTGTTTTGCTTGCGGCGCGATGACAGCACCGCCACATCACCCCCTTGCTCAGACCGGAGGTCGATAGTGAAGTCTCGTTGTCGACGAATGTGCAAGTGCCAAGAGACTGCCTTGTAGTCTGCGGTGAGTCGAGAAGGCAAGTAATTTGCGAGAGTGCCGTGAAGCAGAGGCGAACAGTAAGGCTTAGAGCCGTGCCGAATACTGTATAGCGCAGAGAGTAGCTTGAAGGAACAGGAAGCATTATTATTCCAGTGCTGCGATGAACCTTGCGAAGCTAGATGGCTTGCAGGATATGAAGACTGCAGACGATATCTGCTCGGGATCGAATGGGTGGGGTATTCTATGACGGTCAAGAAGCTTTAAGTTTTCGAAGGTTGTTGGTTGCGTTTTCAGATCACGTCGGGTGGTCACCACTGTGGCCGTGGAAGGAAACGGGGAGATCTCCCGCCGGGCAAGGTGTTCTACCCGGGGAGTGGCCAACGCTCCGTGTGATAGTTCGGAGATGTTCTATATATACTGTTTTATGATTCGGAATTTTGATAGCGTTATTTAGGTTTCGGTGTGTTTCGCTTGCAGCGCGACGACAGCGCCACCACAAATATAATTTTCAACTTAGAACGAACAGACGACAATATTTTAAATAATATCCTTTTAATTATTAGCCTCCAGTCAGTTTATTGCAAAAAATGGGCCTCACAATAACTAATATTCAGGGATGGGTTAATTACCACTGTGGGAATACGTCTCAGATCACAGTACCAAAAATATCGTTTTAAAAAAGGTAGATTACAAGATGATTTTTCTACTATCTTTGCGAAGTCGTACATTGTTTTGGTCATTTCTCTACGTCGTCTTCAATTATGTCAATATAAATTTTTTATCATTATATAAAATAAAAAAATAAAGTGACAACTTAAATTTAAAAACTACCGAAATAAAAAGAGCTGATGATCTTCCAACGGCTGAAAATATTTTCTTGAATCATAGCTGTGAGCTTGAAGCATAGACTTGATCGAGAGCGTTCATGCTCTCGATCAAGTCATCTTTCAAACAAAAAGAACTAAATTTAAATCGCTTTATCTGCTTGAAAACTACGATGCCATAGACAGACACACACGTTAAACTTATAACACCTCTCTCTTTGCATCCGGGCTTAAAAAATATTTTATGCAACTGGCTAAAATTGGCTTATTTACTTGTTACAGATTGCACCAACTATTTAGCGCAACCAGTTTTAAAACACGGAAAGCCAGAAGATCCTGCATATGACATAGATATAGCTAGTATGTATAAACATAATTATTTGATTTATAATATTAATTTTATAAATTCAGTTCGAAATCAAAATAAGCGTTGATGTTAAACAATTGAAAGGTAACACCAATTTTAGTATTTATTAAATTTATCATTATTTTAGACTACGTTCGAACAATGGTTTCTTTTGGAATAATCAGTTTGTTCGTGATGGCTATGGGATGTGGTTTTTCTACTTATACTTTTCGCAACCCGCGATATATGTTTAAACGACTTGCGGCTGGAATCCACTTCATCAGTAGTGAGTATATTTTAAAGTACTACTTTTTAGTTTAAGAAGTGATGCTCACAAATTAATTATTTTATATTTGAATAACAGAAGGCAAAAAGTTGTCATTAATTGTATGAGTTCTTCCCGGTCAATAATACAAATGGCCGTGCCTCAGGACTCAATTCTCGGCCCTTTTTTGTTTTTTGGATATATTTCTCTTTTTTAAAATATATTAATCACTTACCTTGCATACTGGGGGATTACCATGATGCAGTATTATTTGCTGATAATACTTCATTAAAAATTGATTAATCCTATATCTAAATTAGTAAATTGGTTTAAAGTTAATTATTTGCATACAAATATCAAACATATAAATACCAATATAATTTTGATTGGGAGGCGCTGAGTCTTGTCGATACCACCATTTTTCTTGGAATCACACTAGACGCGAAGCTTCAATGGGACCCCATATATCAAAAATAGCAAGCAGACTTAGTTCTGCAGCTTATGCTGAAAAAAGTTAGAAATCTTACCAGGTTTGAAACAGCTAGACTCGTTTACTTTAGCTATTTTCATAGCATAATATTGTATATTGTTTTGCTATGGGGACACGCTATTGACACTAAAATTATATTTGGTTTACAAAAGAGGGCCATAAGAGTAATCTATTATTTAAAACCCAAAGAGTCGCTGAGACAAAAATTTAAGGAAATTAATATATATTAACTTTAGCCTCTCAATACATTTAAAAAAATGTAATGTACTTACACAAAAATAAATTCGTTTTACAAAAATAAGTAATATTCATTCTGTAAATACTAGGAACAGACACAAGCTAGTAGTCATCAGTTCATCAGTTACTCGACTCCACCAAGTTTTTTTTTTATAGAAGAGGAGGCAAACGAGCATGCGGCTCACCTGATGTTAAGGACTACCGCCGCCCATGATCAACCACAATACCAGGGGAATTGCAGGTGCGTTGCCGGCCTTTTAGAAAGGAGTACGCTCTTTTCTTGAAGGTCCCCAGGTCGTATCGGTCCGGAAAAATCGCTGGTGGTAAACTATTCCACAGAGAGGTTGTACGCGGAAGAAAACTCCTCTTGAAACGTACAGTGGTGGACAGCCAAGCATCCAGATGATATGGATGGTATCGCGACGTTTGCCGCGTAGTGCGTTCACGAAATTTGGCGGCTGGGATTAATCCGAACAATTAAAACAAGTCAGTAAATCATTCTTGGGGCGATGTATACGCTTTTACAACAAAACTGGGAATAACCCCTGGGAATGAGGTGCTCGCTACCAATCTATTTATAGTTCGTTTTGTGTTGTTAATTGTGCAATATACATGATTGTAAGCTGAGTTTTTTAAAGTCCCGCTGAGTACCTTGCTAACTCTTCCCAGGACTGAGGTTTCTTTCCAAACTAGTATATATATATACTATATACTATAAAAAAGTTTTTGTTTTATTTACGGTATAGTTTGAACGGCCTGCAGACATGGTTTCCATTTAGTAAAATCGATAAAGGTTGAAAACGGTTGGATAGAGTTGAATTGGATAGTTTGAGAACGGTTGTTACGAATTACTATTTTATTTACAAGTATTGATTTTAAATTTAGTTTCACGGAAACGAAAACTTGACATAAAATGTTTTTATTTTATTTATATAGCTATATTATAAAATTAGGAAATGACTGCACAGTTTGTATCTATCGCAGATACCTTACTGGTGCTTCATAGTTGACTTGCGGCATTTTAATACCGGCAAGATTAATTTAAATACTTAAATTAAACTTGTTTATTATTATTATACTTATCATAAAAATTAAAACAATTTAACGAGTTTATACTTAATGATTTCTTATATTTACGCGAACACTCCGTTCGCGTAAATATAAGAAATCATCAACGTTCCGGGAAGTCTGCAGTTTGTGATCATATCCTAGACGGACCCAACCATGACATCAGATTTGATAGACCACAAATCCTCGCGAAAGAACACTGATTCCTACCAAGGATGATACGTGAGGCTATTGAAATTAAAAAACATCCTAATTTCAATAGTGAAGGAGGCTGGGTACTACCACCTGCTTGGGATCCTATAATCAATAAAATTAAAACTAAACCCAAGCATACCACTGCAAGACCTCAGGACATAGTCAGTTCATTTTGCATAGATCGGACCATAAACAATAATTAAAAAAGCTGAAGGTACTCCGGGTTTAACAATGACATCGGGACGTCAGTCATCCCAGTCCCCCGTGACCATGGGTGCTGGAAAGCGCCCGAAACGTCGGGAATTAATAATAAAATAAATAAAAAGTAAAAATAAACGCGATAAAATCCGTAAAAGTAGTTTTAATCGAGTTTATACTTTTAAATAAGTATCATCAGTATTATCACATTCCTTGAAAGTCTTACCTATGACCGGGAGCCACAAAAGAACTGCGCACAGGTATTGCTTCTCCTTCATTACCGGTCTAGATAATTTGGTTTCAACATTTTAAATGAATTTTCTGCTAAGACGCTGTTTAGGGAGAGGAAATTTTGCTACTGTTACCGTAACCGTTATAATCTATCAAAAGTCTACTGCTGAAAATAGGCCTATGTCCATAGATTGCCTAATAGTGATATTTTCTGTAGTTGCCACGTTTGGTAGACAGGCTAGCAGTCGCAGTTTTATTGTAATTAGGAAGACGATGCTGTCTGTGTGTGAATTTTCTTTCCTCTGTCACCACTTACGACACTCACGGGAGGATTGGGATAGTGGATATTCTTACAACGCCACGACACAGTAGTTCGAATGTAAGAATAGTAACGTAGTAGTAACATTCACTACTTTTCTCTCTAAATGTTATTCTTATCTGTATTTGGTGAATCTTACCGAAGGACCATTGCTGCTTTGGAAGCCGACTCCAAGTATATTATTATATATTCGTAAAATTATACAATAACTTTCAGCTTCGTGTACGTTTGTGGTTGTACAAATAACGATGTCGTGTGTGGACCATATGAGGAAAAACGTTAAATACGTCTATCCTGAACGTGCCTACCATTAGTAAGTAAATTCAGTATTAATTAAACATATATCTAATAATGTAAAAATCTTTATTAACACATTGCTCATCATTCAAATTGAAGCATGCGCAGCATGCTATATTTTTTTAATAATTTCACTACGATTCAAATAAATTAATCATATATTTATTCACTTATTTTAATTTATATTATGACGTTTCTATTTATTGTAATAATATTTTTAATTATTTTTCTTTTATTAATTTGCAAATTTTGTTTATACTATAAAAGTTACAGCCTATAATATACGTCCTACTGTTGGGCACAGACCTTCCGCTCATTTATGAGAGGGTTTTAGGGCAAGGAACTGTCCGCCGCGCTGCCCCAATGCGTGTTGGCGAATTTCATATGTGTTCAAAATATTTTTTTTTCTTATTTCTCTGACATGCAGTTTCCTGACGATTTTTTTCCTTCACCGCCGACACGTGGTAAATCAGCACTTAAAATTGCAATTAACAATTTAATTGGTGCCGGCGGGAATCGAACCCGGTTTGTTCGCGTACTGTGAAATTTACAGCGAGTGCTAACCATCTGAGCTACCACGGCTCGATATATATATATATATATATATATATATATATATATATATATATATATATATATATATATATATATATATATAATATATGTATTATACTATATTTTATTGTTTATTTAATATTATTTATATAGTATGTATTTAAAAAAAGATGTTTAGCAACTGTATAGACTAAGTGGTCTACTCTCAGTAAGACAACTATATGTTATTATGACAATCCGACAATCCTCAAAGCACACAAATTCCTCCCCTTTGACCCACGCATCTTGAAAAAGCGGCGAAAAGATGTTGTGGTTAAGCCTTCTGGTACCAAAACAGTTTTTGCTAGTAGGCAATTTAGCTCATGTTCTGCATTCCTATATAATAAAATAAATAGAAAATTGAACATATACGACAAAACGTACAGGGAGTGTAAAAACCTGATACTGAAGTGGGTGCAGTCGAAAACCTATGAAGAAACCGAATTTCTGCTGTACCGCGTTTCATAATACAGTTTTATGTACAATATAATATAATAAAATAATTCTCCATACACACACACACGCACGCACGCACGCACGCACGCACGCACGCACGCACGTACGCCACACAGACACACACACACGCACACACACACGCACACACACGCGCGCGCATATACCCATATACACTTTAGTAATTTATGTAAATTTTGGTTGTTAAAGTCGAGTAATTAGTTTTTGTCTTTTTTGGTTTTTAAATTTAAAAATGTATGTTTAGATAAGGAAGAGCGGGGTTTCCAAACACAGGCATTACTTGCTTAAATGGAGATCCCAATCAACTATGTCATTACTTTAAGTTTTATAAAGAAAAATAAATTATTTTATTTTATTTTTATTTTTAATTTATTTATTAGTTAACTATATAAACTTACCTCCTGCTAGAGTTGCTATCATTACACAAACTTCATCTTCTAGTCCTGTACTATGACTTTATTATAGTACTATAATAATGTTATATGCTAGGTGAGTGATAGAAACGATAAATCTTCGCATCTAACAACATCGTACGATGTATAAAGAAGCGATATAATCGATACATACTCTATATTTATAGAATACACAGTAATAGTTGTGTCCTACGAACGCATCGTGTGATGTCGCATCGTATTAGTAATCAATCATGTGAATATCCCAAAATTACACTTGTTATTTGCCTTCTCATTTATTGGTAAGACTCAAATGCATATTAAGCTAAATCTTCATAGACCGCTATTTGATTTATTGTTACGAGAGTAAATACGCTGATGCGTTGTCACCCATGAGAACTAAGATGGAATGCCTCCTTTCTAATGAAAAGTGTATCGTGTTCTTTACACTGACGATGCAAAATACAGCAGCATTGAGCTGCTATTTCACGCTGGTATTCTATAAGAGCACGGTCCTTTTCCGGTAGAAACGGCCCGTTTGTTCGTCATCCATAATATAACTACAGCATGGCTCTACCATATATAAAGAAGAAAAGTAGATAAACTGAGTAATTCAATAGGTATAATTCTCTTTGAATAATCTTCGAGTACGATTAACAATGCTTACTTAATTAATACTTACCTCGAGTGCGATGACTATAAACTGCATACTTCAATATTATGAATAAATTCCGTCTTTCTAATCTATGAAATTTTGATTCACGATTAAAGTTGAAACAAAGTCATGCTTAGTTTCTTCTTGCCGCCATTTGCAGGGTAGAGGCAGTATTATCATCTCATGGGTGTCATAAGATGTGTCAGACGGAAGCCGCTTCTTGATAACAAATGAAAATAAGGAAAAGTTTCGGTTGCCAACCCGCCAGTCCTATTTTCAGCAGTAACTGTGGAAAAATCACCTATAAGATCTATGAAAAAGCCTATTTTCAGCAGTGAACATCGATAGGCTGTAATGATTGATGATAATGTTGATGAATTCCTTTCTTTCTTTAATAAATATTTTTGTATTAATAGTACCGTTTGATCAAACACCCCATGTCAGAAACATGGGGTGTTAGATTGAGTTACTACATCATTTTTCAATTTAACTAATTGGAGTAAGATTAATGTAAAATAGAGCCTTATAAACTTTTATTAACGATATCCTCATTACAACTTGTAAATGTTTACATATGGTAACACAACTGTTTCATATCTTATTTAGCAACAGCTTTGTATTTCAAGTTTTTGCTATAATTTAATTTGATACGTATCAATTTATAAAATATTTTCCTTTCACAGTTACCACGTTAGCTTTTACTTGGCATGGTTTGTGGTGCTTGTTAATCTCTTCGCGGCAGCATCATTTCTTTGGTACTCGAGAAAAAGGAAAGGCGACAAAGCAGCTACAGACGAATTAGCTATGGCCGACGAGCCTACGATAATTGGCCGATGACGTCATGAATGTTTTAAATCCAAGCGACCTGTGCAGCCGCCTGGAAACTTGTTTACGTTTCTACTGAACAGTGCTCAAATGACCAATAGCTATATCAATATTTCAACAAGTCTTCCATATATATTATACTTATAGAAGCATAAGAAGATAATATACTTACGGGATCATCAAGAACATCGATTTGAATTAACAATTTCTTTGCAAATATTAATATGTTCTATAATTATAATATATTGTAAATAATTTTCAATTTTTATTCTATGCGCCTTGTTAATCTTATAAGTATTGGAATAATTACTTTTTATTGTTTTTAATTTACTCCAAGCAATCTTGTTATTATAAAATGTTAAAAACTAACTCCTTCATTTTCCTCGGACTTATGGGATTAACGAAGTTTTGCCATGATTTTTTTAATATTTTTTAAGTTTAAGTAATTATATGGTTACTTATATATTAAATTTGCTGTCTTGAAACTATTTAAATAAGTAACTATTGTTGTAACTTGAATCTAGTCAAACATATAATGGTGACGTGAAATGTTTGTAAGGGTTACTTTAGACTTGATCGTAATTCATTTACACAGTTTTAGATATGTATACTATACGAAAAACTCAAACCAATTTTGAATATCAAATAGTAAAATCAAATTTAAATTATTTTAGTATCTATTTATAACAGAAAAGCATCAATAAACTGAAAATTTATGAAAATTAATTTCCAGTGATTACTTAACTACTTCAAACAGTATTTATAATTACTATATAACTTAATGAAAGACCAAATGAATATATATTAAATAACTTGTCTTGTAAATTATCTCGTATATTCTACTCGCAGTTTATGTAACTTTGTGTGTGATACTGTTTATTCCAAGCTATTTGCATTGTACGTGTGTATTGATGTTAAATGCAATCAATGTATCTGCAATTTTTATTTTCAAATCAATAAATTTCTTTTAAATATTTTTAATTTGTATCAACCTTCTCCACGCCATATTTTCATAATAGCTATATGTTGTGACTGTGTCATTAATCGGTTTCGAATCCCGGGTTGGGTCGAAATCAATAAGTAGGTTTTTCTGACAAGAAATTCTCTGTAGCAGTCCTGAATCAGGAAGTTGTCGGTGTTTCACCCCTGTGTCTCAGAAAGCACTTAAAGTTGTTGGTGCTGCCCTCGATCTCTCTCCGGTTGTGTTGATTTACCGTCCTGTCGGATTATGAGCAAACATTAGGGCACTATGATCCTTGCCTGCGCAGATGGCTTGTCTCCATGGAGACTAGCCACCGTGACCTTAAGTTGGTCTAGATGACATTGTTATGTTGTAAAAATTCTTTCAATGATTTATTCATTACAGCCCATAATTTAAGCAGTTTTTTTTTAATTATTGAGTTGTTACCTGGAAGAAGTTGCCTCGTACGACACTCACAGGGTGATGATTGATGTTGATTAACCCATAATAAAGTAAGGTAAAGTTACAGCCTATATACATCCCACAGCTGGGCACAGGCCTCCCCTCATTTATGAGAGGGTTTTAGGGCAAGGAAGTGTCCGCCGCGCTGCCCTAATGCGTGTTGGCGAACTTCACATGTCTTCGAAATATTTTTTTTCTTATTCCTCAGACATGCAGGTTTCCTCACGATGTTTTCCTTCACCGCCGAGCACGTGGTAAATCAGCACTTAAAATTGCAATTAACAATTTCATTGGTGCCGGTGGGGATCGAACCCGGGTTACTCGCGTTCTGTTATATTTACAGCGAGTGTTAACCATCTGAGCTACCACGGCTCCCCCGATTACCCCATAAATGTAGTCATTGTGCAAAATTATATATTTCGATTAAATGAGGTATTAATTATAAAAAGTTAATTCTTTGAGTGGTTGGATAATACTTTGAAGTAATCGTAATTAAAAATATAAAAATATATAAAAGACACTTCTTTTTAATAATAACGGCCGTTATTTTTAAAGCAAGTTTAAAAAATATATTTTCTATTTAAATGAAGAAAATAAACCAAATACCATCAAAAATATCCAGTAACTACCCAACCGGTGCAGGTGATTACATGGATGCTAGACATGATTTTTTTCTGGTCCTTGTTTAACTTATTATACCTGCTAGTAAATACTATCGAGATCGGTAAGCATAAGCATAAGTACCAATATGCAGAGATTCTGCCATAATTACTATCACATCATCATAATTACAGCCATTCAAAAGTCACTGCTGAACCTAGACCTCCCCCAAGGAATGCACAAAACACGGTCCTGAGCTACATGAATCCATCAATTTCCTGCATGCCTTAACAGGTCGTCACTTCATCTAGTTCGGAGTCACCCTAAACTTAGCCTACCGGTACTATATCTATATCGCAATATATACTATATCGCCAAATAATTGGAGACTTTTTCCAGTCTAGTGACTTAAGAATTTTGTATTGAAAAAGTAGGAAGAACGAGCACACAGACCACCTGATGATAAGAGGATGCTGTGGCACAAAAAAATCCTCGATTAGAAATCAAAATGCAGTACGTTGTCACCCCACAGCGGTGAAATAATATGCCTCGTTTTCAGCAAAAAGATTCTCTACACTCACCATATGAAACACAACAACATTAAGCTACTATTATACACTGGTATTCTGTGAGAGCATAGCCATTCCACGGTCAAGTCGTCCTATTCTTGCTACAACGGTAATACAGCTACAGCGTGGCTCTACCACGTATAATTTATAAATGATGATGAACAAAACATTGTTTGGCAAAAATTTTAACCGGAAATATTTTCCGGAAATATTTAATCAACCTTTTGTATTAGAAAAAATGTCTTACACAATTTAAACCGACAGCTATTTTAAGACACACATTGTTGAACGTTTGGCAACCGCCCAGAACCGAGCGGCGACACTGCCAACCGCAACAGAGGTTAGTGTCCCAAAAAACTGTTAAAGAAAAGGCCAGTCATTCCATAAACTTTGTTGAAGTGATCAAAACAACGAAAAGATCTACTGAATTCAAATGCGGAACTATTAATAATGTTCTAAGTAGTCCGATACGAAACAACTTAGGTAAATGCCAGTAAGATCAGAGATATAAAGTTGTAAGCAAAGATCGAAAGAGGAAAAGCGAGATCAAAGGTGAGATAGATGGTAAAACGAATCACTGTAATTGAGAAATTAGAGTAATCGTTGACGCAGTTACGTCAAATCTCTCCTACTTTAAAGGAGATAATATGATCTTTGATTTATTAATAGCCTTCTAAATTCACCTGCACGCGGGTGCCATGCTAATCAAAAGGCGAAACGGTTTAGTTTCACCCTTTGATTGGTTACTTGAAATCGATCGAATGAAAGTTTATGTCAGACTAGTAATAAAGAGCAACTTTGCCAGTTCTAATGTTGTCTCCATCACCACTACAGCTCACCTGGACTACTAGTGAAAATGGCCTTAACCGCAGATTGCCTCAACTGGGGTGATATTCGTCATAGTTGGTATGCTTGCCAGGCATGTTTGGTTTGGCAAGTTTAAGTAATAGCTCTTAATCCACTGACTATAATTAAGTAGAATTGATAAGGGAACGGATGTGAATAACGAATTATACGTGTTTCAGAATTTCAAAAATGCAGTTTTTGGGACCGATTCAGAGTAGGAGTAAGACATAACATAAAAATATTGATAGGCCACACGTCCTATGTAACATAGGTACATTTTTCTTAACAAAACTTAAAATAAAAGTACGTTATTTATTAGGGAATGAACTGAGTTGTGATCTTCCAGTGTAGGAATCGTGGTCTGCTTGACCTGAAAGAGCAAAATTACTCTGCAATGAACTTATACCTGGATAGTGATGATAAGACAGAAATAAATACTAACTCTCTCTATTGCAAAGTTTAAATATTTAATTAAACAAAAACTCTATAAAAAGGCTTATTATAATATAAATGGAAAACAAGGTTGATAATAAACCCTAGGAATGAGGTGGTCGCATCCAAGCTGTTTCTAATATAAATTTTGTAAATATTTTGTAACCATTCACATGGTGAATTTAAAAAAAAAAGTTCCGCAGGGTTTCTTGTTGGTTCTTCACAGAACAGAGGTTTTTTTCAAACCATTGTTAAAGTGAAAAATGACTTTCAATGAGAATTAAATGTAATCTATATTGCATAAAAAATTATTCTATTCTATTCTATAAGAGATACCATGAATTAATTAATACTGGTAATTACTTATGGTTGAAATTCGACCGATTGTGTAGAAGCAACGCAACAAAAACGAGAAAACAAGTGATTTTAGCTCAAATTTCAGCTGGTACAACTCCTATTTGACCTAGGATGGGCTGAGTATGAGTAGGTATCACACTCCTAACAATTTTGGCCGGCAAATAGCAGTGCTTGCATTGTTGTTTTGCTATTGTGTTTCATTTTAAAGGATACATAGAACCTGTATAATTACGTGCTGAGGGACATTGCTTCTTAGTCCTCCGTGGTGAATACACATCTGTAGACTTCTTTATTTGAAATTGGCTGCGGATGTCCACTGACTGTAGTAGCCACTTACCATCAGGTGGACTGTAGGTTCCACCAGCTTGTGTGGCCACTTCTGTTTTTCAATAAAATACGATTAGCGCACAAGCGACCACAAGGTCAAAATTCATCCCGTTACGTAGAAACAACTCTAAATATTTGTAGTTATGCATGCATTTGGAGCCGTGGTAGCTCCCGCAACTGTAGCTGTATCTTTTGATTACGTTCACTAAGAAGCTTGAATTATTTACATCTCAAAGACATCGTAGATTTAAAAATATTTGATTTCAACTTATACCTCAACCCGTATCGCAGAAAAATGTCTCGACAGATGACGTACGAACTAATGGACAACAAAATGTCTTAATAAATGTAAAAAAAAATTTTTTCATTTTTTGTTGTAGGCATGGGGCCTTAATCGTAACATAAAACCACGAGCGTTGCTGTAGAATACATAGAAGTTATGAGCGTATATGAAAATG